CCCCAAAACCCCAAAACCCCAAAACCCCATAATGATAATGATAGAGATCTAAGAAAAAAGATTTTAGATTTTATATAAAAAGGCGAAAAGCTCCTCATAAAGATGAAAAGCTGAAAGTTTTTAATAAGCTATGAAGTGCATTGTACTATCACTAGCCTAACAATCCAAATCATACGTGATTAAGTGGCTGTCTGTTTTCATCTCTATCAATTTCAGCCTTTGCTCTTTTAAGAGCACATGAGTAATAGAGATCGAAAGACATGAAGATGCACTGAGGAACGATGTAGAAGGCTACAATGAAAGCATTTATGATTGAAGAACCAGCAGATGCTAATTCTTTGCTGTCATCATCGGTTCCTGAGTTCTTAACGTCTGATGAAAAACCGAACAAAATGATAGAGATTATCACAACTTCAGCAAGCATTGCCATGAGAGTGTAGAATCTTGCTTTAATGTAAGTATCAAGATGCTTAGTGTGATGTGGGTGATTCTTTTAGTAGAAGTAGAAGGCAACTATTCTGGGAATGCAAATAAGGAGGACGATTAAGAGATCTCCGTAAAAGATTGCTGGGATATTTCTGTACTTGATAACATTCCAAGCCTTGAATATGAAGTAGACGATGTCAAGAGCGCCTATAATTCTTGGTGCCGATCTGATTGAGACGCAACAGCAGCAAGTTTCATGACTTTCGTAATGGTAGTGGTGCTTGTCGTGATGGTGATCATCATGATGGGCTGTTTGATGTTATTGCTAAATTGGCTGACCGTAAGCTGGTTGATCTGGATTGTTAGTGTAGATTGGTGTCTGGTTCATCTTCGTTCGATTTATTCAGAATATCTTTTATAACTTTAACTATTAAACGGTATTCATAGCCTTAGGATAGTGAAATTAGCAACTTGATTAATATCTCATTAGAATCTGATAATCATCTAGCAGTTATCGAACTTAATATTAATAATTCTCCCAAATGGATTAAATTGACTCTAACGGGGTTTTGGGGTTTTGGGGGGATCGTAAGAGCGT